AGGGTTTAGGGTTTAGGGTTTAGGGTTATAGGGTTATAGGGTTATAGGGTTATAGGGTTATAGGGTTTAGGGTTTAGGGTTTAGGGTTTAGGGTTTAGGGTTTAGGGTTTAGGGTTTGTGCAACGCGAATCAGTCATGAAAGAAAGGTCAGAATAGAAACACATGCCAGCAAATCCAAGTTGCTGGCGCATTCTGCGCAGGCTCGGAAGACGCGTTTGCAGCATGGGCTTCTTCGACCTTCTGTGGGGCATTGCCCAGTTTGTATTTGCTTTGCAGAAAACGCGAGACAAGAAAGAAAGGTCAAATGAGAAAAAAACATGCCGGCAACTCCAAGTTGCTGGCGCACCGCGTGTTGGTGCATTTTCAGCAGCAGCAGCTTTTGGCAAGCACCCAGCCAGGTTCTTAGTTGGTTGCACCGCATGGTGCCCCACAAAAGGTCAAACCAAGTTACAGTAACCCAAAAATAATTGCCAACACGCCCAACTTACTGCCTGACGGCCAAGGGAACGCTGCGCCATCGCAAGCCACTGCTCAGCCTGCGGTTCTTCTCAAGCAAAAGCACACCGTGCTTGGAGGTTTCGGGCTTAGTAAACGCTAAACCCTAAACCCTAGTGTAAGGTTTTGATTCCCGGGCAACATCCCGCCGGAAACTGGGTTCCAACCCCGCTTCACAAAAACCACAGGTCCTGCTCAGCCAACGCCAGCGCCATGGCCAGCGCAGCTTGGGACGCGGGGTCGACTGCAACAGGAGCAGGGGTCTCGACGACTGCAGCAGGAGCTGGGGTGTCAGACGAAGCTGCAGCAGCGGCAGGAGCAGCATACACTGGGTGACCTTCACGAGCTGGGACGACCTGAGAAATTGTGTGAGCCCGAAAACATCTCGCACCCCAAAGTTGGATTGCAAGGTTCATGGCGGGGCTTACGATGCTGGACATACTTAATTAAAAATAAAAAAGCATTGAATGCAGATCTGCCAAGCAACAGGAGGCCGCTGCGTCCTTGGCCTGCCACCGCGCCTGCCACCGTGGTAAAGCTGGCGCCACCACCAGTGACTGTTGGGAAGCCGCAGTCTGCCGAAGCTCTGGTTGAAGTCACGGCCGAAGGTCAGGGTCTGTAAGCTGCTGGTCCAAGCTCTGGTTGAATTGACGAGAGCAATGGCAAGAAACTAAAGCTGGAATTGCATCTAGTTTTTTGCGGATTCCCGTCCCTTACATCTGGCCCATGATCAGGCTATCAAATGATAAGGGTGCCTGGCTTTGGATATTGCAGATTGACCTTATCTCAGGGCGAGGACTTAAACTAAAGACCCTGCCAAAGCCCCAAGCCCTAATTCACTCAACCTTGTGGTTTAGGGTACGTACAATGTAGGGTTTAGGGTTTAGGGTTCAGGGTCTTCAAACGGCTTAGGGTTTCTGCTGCATGGTATCTGACGGCATGACTCCACCCGCCTGAAGCAAAGGAGCTAAGAGTTTTGCAGCTTTCGAGAAGGACGCGAATGGTTGTGATTTGGCAGGTTGCTGGGAAAACAGAGACTACTAACCTTCATCTGCTTCGAAATTCAGCAAAGATTTTCCTGCATCTGGAGTTTGGGGTGATGGGAGCCATGAGGCAAAATCCAGCTGTAGGGGTATATCCGCGTGCGGTTCCGAGGCTTCCTCCAGACCGAAACTCTATCCAAGCCCTCTCTCCCACTCTCCCACTCTCCCACTCTCCAACCCTAAACCCATGGCCCCCAGAGTTCCCAAAAGAGTCAACTCTTCGAAGGCCAGGGTTTCAGTTTGGGCTTTCAGGGATTCAGGCTTCAGGGAATAACTCCTATAAGGTTTAGGGTCTAAAGCTTCGGGAGTTTAGGGATTCCGGCTTTAGGGAATTAGGGTTCAGGCATGTTCGGATGTAGGGCTTAGGGTTTAGGGTTTAGGGTTTAGACTTAGGGGCTTTGCCCACCGGGCCCAGTGTATTCTTGACTGTCCCATGTTTTTGGGGTTCGAAGGCTGCGACCCATACCCGACTCCCTTCGCATGCTCGGCCAGGTCAGAACGCTTGAATTTCTTTCAGATTCTTGTCCCCGGCAAACCAAGCCACCCCTAAGCCCTAAACCCGAAACCCTTAAACCCTAAACCCCAAAGCCTAAGCCAAGCCCCAAAAGGGGCCATCATGTACAGAACCCCTTTAGTCTTCCGAAACCTCGTTGGCCCCTCAGCCCTCTGAAAGGGTTTATGAGGGTTTAGGGTTTGGGGTCTAGGGTTTTTGGGTTTAGGGTCTAGGGTCCCATCTTGGTAGCCCAGCAACCTTAAGGGTTGGTAAGGGAACCTAGAACCCAAACAAATGGGCAATAAGGCACCATAAGAATAAATACCCCCAGGGCCCCTGCCTAATTCGGATGATGCGAGCAGTAAGAACCGCATGTCCTGAGCCGCCCAGGGTCGGACTACCACCGTGCAATCGTTGCGGAAAATCCATGTGCTACCTTGTGGCAGCGAGTTGTGCGAGCTGCCCAGGGTGAGGGGAGCTTCTGACAACAAATGGGTATGGACCGTGGAAGTTTTGAGTTTTCTGTTGTGGCTTCTGGTTAGCAAGGGCCTGGTCGGGTATGGTCTTGTAGTACCTACTTCCACAATGGTACTCAAGTGGAGGTTCTGGGGTAGCGTCTAGAGTTTAGCATCATATGTGAAGGCCTCACGGCCGCAAAATGATGGAACCCTAATCCGAGGGTGGCAAACCTTAGCAAGTGACCCCCCTAAATCCCTAAACCCCTAAACCCGTATACCCCAAACCCTTAACCCTAAACCCCTAAACCCTAAGCTCCGGCAAGCCGCAGGCAACTCTTGGCAGCGTGGGTGGTCGAAAGGATGCCTTTGGCATCCCTGGCCGTTTAAAATCGAAAGCTCCTCGCTCTTTTCCTAGACAGCACAACACCCCTTAATAACGGCTTTGGATCTAGGGTTTAGGGTTAAGGGTTTAGGGTTTCGGGTGTGCTTAGGGATTTAAGGCTTAAGTTTAGGGCCCAAGGCTCATACGTTGAGGAATATACCTTAGGCTTGAAGGCGATCCCCATAATGAAATATTCCTTCCTTACCTGGATGACACAAGAAGGAGACAGTATTGTACCAATGCAGAGACTTAACCTCGATGAGGGTGGGGACCGCTTTGCAGATCCGCTCCTTGAGGGCTTAGGGTTTAGGGTTTAAAATCAGAACTCTCCTACGACACATCTCAACTGAGCGTGAAGAATCCAAGCTACAATTTTAGGGCTCAAGGTTTTGGGGCTCTTGTGCAAGCTCCAAGTAGCCAGGAGATAGGCGCTCATGATGCCAGATCCGCACAGGCGATGTTGCCGGACAGTTTCCCTCTGATTGCTCGATCTGGCATCATAGGAAGATGATTTCCCCCCACGGGCAAAGCATCTGACGTCTCCAATTACATGAGGTAGTAGTCATGTCGAGAATCTTCTCTTCGAGATGCAAAGAGACAGCAATGCAGGGGCAAACCGGCCGAATTCGAGAGATTGTCAGGACCTTGGTGTCCTGATTCCACAACCACCAGACCTGACGGAGGCACGTACCAGGGGAGCCGAAAAAAATGTCACTATTTTCCCTTACACTTAGAGCCCTTGTATGATTACAATCTCACCTAACGGATAATACTTAGAATGAGTTGGCCCCACTCCCGCACACATGCAGGAAAACTAATGGATCCCTTCTTTACCTAGAGGTTGCGATGTTCCCCCTTATACTAACAGCCCCTGATAGGGATTTTAGTACCCCTATTCCCCTAGTATAACCCCTATGAAGGACTGTAAGGAAAAGGGGGAACATCCCAACCTAGAGGAATGTTTAGGGTTGGGGCTTCATTAAGGGAAGCTTACCCTTAAACAAAAAGGAAAACGGGCAGCGCAGGGGGAAGACGGGGGGGGGGGGGGGGGGGTCACGAGAGCGAAGCTGCTGTGGAGGGAGGGGCGCCTTTGCCAGACTGAGCAGGGTTGAGGGCTTCGGGCTCAGGGTTTACTAACTATACTTGGGTAGTGAAGTTAAGGGGTTTATGACCTAAGGGCTTAGGGCCTATGGTTTACTAACTATATTTGGGTAGTGAAGCTAAGGGACTTCTGACCTAAGCCATAATATTCACCTCCTTATAGGTCATAAAGCCAACTTACATTCTCACCTCAGACTACTACCCTGAAAATGAAAGATACCACTCTCTAAGGTGTTTTAGGTGTATATGCCGCAGGTCCTAGGTTCTTGGTACGCCTTGGAAGTAGGAAGGATGATGAACTGCATCGATTCCTTGTGTCCGACATCCCGAACGCCTTCAGAGCCCCCTGACCATCGACTCGGAATCCTGACCCCGCTTTCCCCCGCCCCAGATAAACAACAACAGTCATAACCACATGTACTTGGAGGTTCATGGTACTTACTAACCAATTATAGCTGTACTTATAACTTATAACCCTACTCATAGTATAGGGGTTGTCCCAACTATAAGTAGGGTTATAAGCCCAGTCACAAGTGGTCAGTGAGTACCATGAACCTCCATGTATGTCTGCATGTATATGTATGCCTGGATGCGTGCATGCGTGCATGCATACATGCAGGTATCTATGACCTTTAACTGTCATAACGTCATGTAACAGGCATGACGTAACGCAATGCAATGTATAATGATGCAATGTATGTATGTATGTATGTATGTATGTATGTATGTATGTATGTATGTATGTATGTATGTATGTATGTATGTATGTATGTATGTATGTATGTATGTATGCATGTATGCATGTATGCATGTATGCATGTATGCATGTATGCATGTATGCATGTATGCATGTACATGTATGCATGTATGCATGTATGCATGTATGCATGTATGCATGTATGCATGTATGTATGCATGTATGCATGTATGCATGTATGCATGTATGTGTATGCATGTAAGTGTACATGTCGGCAAGTGAACGTCCGGTGCGCAAACGTGCAGGACGATGCAATCCCTCCCGCAGTGCCTCACATGGGAAGCCACAGCCTCCTGTGCTTTGCAGAAATTGCCAGCCTGGCTGTGGCCATGGCGGGTGTGGGGCTCAGGGTTTAGGGCTTGGGGGTTTAGGGTTTAGTGGTTCAACTCGGGAATGGCTCTCTAAGTCGCAGTCGCCTTTGTGGGATTGAGATCTACCTGTCTATTCTGCGGGGTATGTCATTTTACGGTTGTGCTGGAACTATAGTTGGGGGTCGAGACAGAGATTGCAAACAGGGCTTTGGAGTTCGGAGCTTAGGTCTGAAAAAGGTTCGGGGCTGAGGGCAACTTAGGGCTGTTTTTTCAGGAACCTAAGGATCAACGGAAGGCCCTCATCAAGCAGAAACTCAAGCTGTGGTGCACCCGTTGACTCATAAGACACCTATGACTCACCTTGCTTTCGATTCTGGGACACTAAACGCAAGATTTCGCCGGGCCTCACCCTTCCCACAGTGTCCAGGCCCAGAACGGCCAGTGGCTGTGATGAGTCGAAACCTGGGAAGGGGTTTAAGGGTTTAAGGGTTCCGGGCTTCCCGTTGCCCAAGATCACATAAATCGCATCTAGATGCATATACACATATATACATATGTACACAGTTATCTATAGAACTTCTTAAGGAGGACCATCTTAAGGAGGACCACTGCAAAGCTTTGTTTGTATTCCTTTAATGAGGAGAATTTGAAGGTTGTTCTGGGTTGAGAAGGAGGGAGAGATATATACATCTATACTCGCCCCCCCCCCCCCCCCCCCCCCCCAAAAAAAAAAAAAAAAGAAACAAAACAACCCTAAACCCTGAACCCTGACCCCGAAACCCTGAAACCCTAAAAGGAGCCCCATAGTGACATCTGGACTGTCTCGAAAGGCAGAGCCCCACGCCCAGCCGCTCCAAGATGGGAAGCGTCTCGGCAAGCCAGAAGAGCCTCCCAGAGGAGATGCTCAGAAGTCCAAAGGGTTTAGGGCTAGGGTTTAGGGTTTAGGGTTTAGGGTTTAGGGTTTAGGGTTTAGGGTTTAGGGTTTAGGGTTTGGGGTTTGGGGTTTGGGGTTTAGGGTTTAGGGTCTGGGAATTGGGGTTTAGGGTTTAGGGTTTAGGGTTTGGGGTTTGGGGTTTAGGGTTTAGGGTCTGGGAATTGGGGTTTAGGGTTTAGGGTCTGAGGTTTAGGGTTTAGGGTTTAGGGTTTGGGGTTTAGGGTCTGAGGTTTAGGGTTTAGGGTTTGGGGTTTAGGGTTTAGGGTCTGAGGTTTAGGGTTTAGGGTTTAGGGTTTAGGCTTTTCCTCTAGTGTGCTTTGCCCCAAAGACACAAAAAAGAGTCTGAGTGGTTCCTTGTGCAGCTCCCTCTCTCTAGCCTGCGACCGTCCATTCTATCTCAACTCGAACTCCTGAGCCAGAGGCTCCTGGCTCACGTGGCTCTAAGCCCTAAATAAACCCTAAACCCTGAGCGCTAAGCCCCGAAAACTCTTGAAACCATTGAACCTCACCCTAAACCCACATGGCTTAGAAACAATTGGTTTCGAACTCACCCCCTGCAGCTGCCTGCAGAGAACCCTCGAACCCTCGTTTGCCAGGAAACGAGGCGAAGCAAACCACATTGTTGCTTCTGCAGAGATTACTATCAGCAATTTGCACACACGAATCCGAAACCGCTAAACCCCTAAACCCTAAACCTGAGACCCCTAAACCCAACCTTAAACCCCCACACCCTGGGCCGGATCATAAGCCCGCAGTCGTGAACCCAAAAAAAACTCCTAAAGCCCGAAAACCTAGAAGCCTTTGAAGCTCTAAATGCTGGAAAGCATGAAGATCCTAAAGCGTTTTTAAACCCCCACAGCCCCAGAAAACCTTCAGCCCGGCCCTAACTCCCTAGCACTCTTTTTTATTAGAGCAACTTAAAACCCTGAAGCCCTTTAACCCCCCCCAAATCCTAAACCCAAAACCTAAACCCTAAACCCTAAACCCTAAACCCTAAACCCGCTGAAACACCCCGAAGCCCTTCTCTGCCAACTTGCTATTGAATAGTGTGTGCTTCCACATGTTGCGCACTCTCCTCTGCCAACGCGTTAACATGGGTTATGACGCCTGCACAGTGGACTCCACGTCTGTCATACTCACCGGTTCGGCCCGTGTGAACAGCCTGTCTCTGCCGCAAGCGCAAGCACTTAATCGCTGACAATCCTTTCCAAGACCTCTGGAGCCCCCGTGTGTTCCGAGCAAAGTCCTCTCAGACCGCTCTGGCTGCACACAAACCCGCACTTCCACGCGTTTGGCACTTGCTTCCACTTCCGTGCCTTCACAGCTGGCACACCTGCCCATTGCCACCGATGGTGAAGCTGTCTCCAATGAGCCTATCTCTGTGTCATTCACAGGACAAAACCATAACTAAATGTTAAGAATGCGGGGAAAGGCACGAGAATCTGCAGATAAGCCCCAAAAACATTAAAACCCTGAAAACCCGCAAAGCCCCTGAAAAAAAAAACCCAAATCTTGCAAACCCAAGAGACCTTAATTAAAACCCGCCCATAACAACCCGCCTTAAAAACCCAAAAGCCTTTACTCCAAACCTAGAGGCCCTAAAGGCCCTGAAGGTTCTAAAGGCCCAAAAGGCCCTACTGTCAACCCTAAACCCGCTTAAACCTTAAACCCAAAACCCCGAACCCAAAACCCCAAACCCCCAAACCCTAAACTGCCCTAAACCCCAAACCCAAAACCCAAAACCCCCAAACCCTGAACCCCAAACCCAAAACCCCAAACCCTAAACTGCCCTAAACCCTAAACCCCAAACCCCAGAATTGCAACAGCGCCTGGAGCTGCAAAGGCGCTCGCCCTGGAGCACACCGCCCACGCGGCCTTCACTTGACTGGGTTTAGGGTTTAGGGGTGTAGGTGAATATTACTATAGAAATAGATACATAGATAGATACATACATACAAAGAGATAGATACATACATACAAAGATACATACACAGTTATTGGGTTTAAGTTTAAAACCTAGGGGATGTAAGAATTTCTGCTACCCTCAACCCTGAAACATCTGCATAGGCCACTATAGGGCCCAGGATTTCGGGGTATTTGAGACGTTGGCTAGACAGTAAGGCTTTTTGGGCCACAGGCCATAAAGGTGAAACTGCGCATGGCGAGGGTTTCGGGTTTCGGGTTTTCAGGTGCCGCGGCGTAACCCGCCGAGTTTCGTGATTGTGGTTGTGGGGTTTAGGGTTTAGGGTGTAGGGTTTAGGGTTTAGGGTTTAGGGTTTAGGGTTTAGGGTTTCTAAGGTTTAGGGTTTATAAGGTTTAGGGTTTAGGGTTCAGGGTTTAGGGTTTAGGGTTTAGAGTTTAGGGTGAATCAAGTCATGAGTGCCTAACTCGGCACTTGGATCGCCGTAAAGTGGTATACTTGCGAGGCACGCGCAGGGCACGGCAGAGGCCGTGCCCCGGCCTGTCAACCCCCACCCGGAAGGTCAACGGGCCAGCGTGAGCGCGGGGGGGGGGGGGGGAAAGTCGACTTCAGAACCGAGACTACGCACGTCAACGTTTTCCACCTGAATTTTGCTCATCCTCAAACACGATCTGGGAGCACTGGCACAGTAGCCACTACAGCACACAGGCCCACAGATCTCATTCGCTCAGCTAAGAGATCCTCTTCTCCTCCAGCCGAGAGACATGAGGCGGCACCACCATTCAAGAACTCTCGGCGGTAGTGCTCTGTAGCCGTGCAGCGCTGCAACATGTGCCCCAAGCCTACCGGCGCTTCAAGGCTTCCGGGCATGTGGGCACTGGTTGCTTGGGCATCCCCACAGTGGCAGACGGAAGCGCACGAGCCCACACAATGTCATCCCCGCGTGCGCGATCATGCCTCATGTTCTCAAGCAGCTTTCCGATGCAAGGTTTAGAGATGAGGGCGCATCGGGAGTAGAGCTCACTTAGAGGTTCATAAGTAACTCTCAGCAGCCTTATAAGTACCCTAAATAGGATTAGAGGTAATGATATCACACTTATAACTTATAACCTTACTTTCAACTACCCATGAACGTCCAAGTAGAGCTCACAGGGTTTAGAAGTTGAAGAGCCTACTTCAAGCAGCTGCCCCGGGCACACCTTAGGAGCTCATGACCTAGGGCTTAGGGTTTAGGGTTTAGGGTTTAGGGTAATGATACGGAGCCTCATGTCCGAAGCCGTGTGTTCAGGGTTTAGGGTTTTAGGGCTGTGAGTCCAAAAGCGACCTGCAACACTCCGAAACACGACTCACGTGAGGTGTACAAAATGGGGCCTTGCTGTAGACACCGCCCCTGCACCCGAAAGCTTGAGCCCTTCTAGGTTGAGGGTCTAGGGTTTAGGGCTCAAGGAGGGTTTACTCTTCACACTAACCCCTGAACCCCAAACCCTACCTGCACCCCCCCAACTACCCATTCAGAAAGGGGGGTTATGTACCCTACTAGTATGGTTAAAGGGTTTTGGGGGGTGCTGGTAAACCCTAGACCCTAAACCCTAACCCCATTGCTGGTGCAAAGGCCTGGCAACTCCACGCCCATGTCTGCCTGATGAAGCCCACAGGCACAGCTGCCGGAAGGTTTGGGCTTATGGAAGGGTTTAGGGTTTAGGGTTTCGGGTGTAGGGTTTCGGGTTTAGGGGCTATGCGCAGAACCCTAGACTTGCCAAACAAGAGTGCAAACACTCAAGCGCCCAGCAGGCCTGGCGAGCCCAGAGCCCGGAAGCTCAGGGTTCTAGGGGGGGGTTGGGGTTTAGGGTTCAGGGTTTAGTGTTCAGGGGGGGGGGGGGGGGGGAGTTGCTTGCCCCTATGGCTTTGTTCATGGTATCTGGCGTTTTTGTTATGATTCTTTTTTGCGTGTCTTGGGGGGTTTAGGATTTAGGGTTTGGGGCGTCGGGTGGAGGGATTTAGGGCGCTAGCCACAGAACATAAAGACAAAATGGAAGCACAAACACCCTACCGGGCTTCGAATGGCACGAACCTCAGGGTACTCATCAAGCAGTCCTTGTGTAGTCTGCAAGGCAAGTGGAAGGGGGAGGGGGGGAACGAATCACAAAATCGAAAACCTGCACACCATGTCATGGAACCCCATGTCATGGAACCCCTAAGTAGCATAAGTAGGACTGAAATCCGCAACCCTGAGAAGCCCATCACATCCCATCACGCTTTCCGAACCTCGAACCCCTAGACCCCCAACCCAAAACAACTACATTGGCAAGCTCTCTCAATTATCATCCCGCTTGGGTTTAGGGGTAACCCCCTAGGTTTCAGGCTCCGCCGTAAGATAGCAGTTGCCCCCCAACAGCAAATATTCTAAACCTGCTCGTTTTACAAAACCTGTAAAGTATCAACCATCCTAAGGGCCGACAAGGGACCCAAACTAGGACCCTGAGCAGCCTAGGAAAAAGGTTGGTAAGGGACCCTAACCCTCACAAAGCTGAAAAAATCTGCTGGCTCTTAGTAAGAAGATGAGGGAATTAGGTACCTTCTATCCCCCTATTGACCTTGTCCCTCATTCCCTAGTAAAAAACCCTAAACCCAACCCCTAAACCCTAGCCCTAAACCCTAAACCCCAAAAAGGGCCAACTCTGGGTCCAACTGCTGGGGAACCCGGAGCCCCCGGTGGCCGACCTCGTGGACTTCCACCGGGCGGCCATCCTCTCAGCAGCTCTTTGGAGGTACGTTTAAGGGTGGTAGGGTTTAGGGTTTAGGGTTTAGGGTTTCTAGGGTTTAGGGTTTCTAGGGTATAGGGTATAGGGTTTAGGGTATAGGGTATAGGGTATAGGGTGGTAGGGTTTGGGGTTTGGGGTTTGGGGTTTGGGGTTTGGGGTTTGGGGTTTGGGGTTTGGGGTTTGGGGTTTGGGGTTTGGGGTTTAGGGTTTAGGGTTTAGGGTTTAGGATTTAGGGTTTAGGGTTTAGGGTTTAGGGGCGAGGGGTTAGGGGTTCCTCCTGGTTCTTTGTAGGGAATGAGGGAATGAGGGCCCCATATGCACCCTTTAAGGTATTTTATAGGGTATCTTATTCCCTCATTCCCTACTAAGAACCAGCCAGTTTTTTTGGTTGGCTGACCCAAAACCCTAAACCTTACATTCTAAAGGGTTTAGGGTGTGTGGTTTAGGGCTTAGGGCTTAGGTTGAACGCATCCAGGTGTCGCAGACTTGAGCCGGCTTTTACGAACTGCATCTTCAGCCGTGCCTAAAGATCATGTATTTTGTAAAATGCCATAGTGCTGAGGGAAACACGTGAGATTGATAGGACAGCAAATTTGTTTAGGGTATAGGGTTTAGGGGTTTAGGGCTTAGGGGTTAAGGGCGTCGCTCCGTACTGAGGTTTGGGCCAAGCCAAGCCATTCGCCAGCACGGCGGATGCATGGATCGGCGCCACCAGAAATCTGCACCTCCAGGCAAAGACAACAGGAGAAAGCTATAAAATAAAAAAAGATTAGGTTCGGGTTTCGGGTAAACGCTCGAAACCCTGGAAAACCCTCAAACCCTTAAACCACCTTTGGAATTGTGGCCTTTGTACCCCGCATGTTGGGTCTCTTGGACCATTCTAATGTGCACAGTTGCCCAATGCGATTATTTGCAACATTGGTGGTGTATCTAACAAGTATTCCCTACTTGGGTACATGGATCCTTAGGCTAAGTCTGCAAATAAAAGCCCTACAAGTAAGAGGTTAAAATCATGGAGGAACCCTAAACCCTAACCCCAAACCCGAAAGGCCTGCTTGGCCGCAATCCAGTTGCAGGCAGAATACGTTTGCCCGAGGTCCTGCTGGGGTTTAGGGTTTAGGGTTTCGGTTTAGGGTTTGAGGTTGGGGGTTTAGGGCAATGTTCGCAGCTTCGGGGTTGGCAGTCAGAATGGCGTTAGTACGGGGCGCGCTGGCTTGAAATATGGGGTGTGGGGTTTAGGCAGCTGCATTCAAGAACCCTTTTTGTTGGTTCAGTTGGGCTGACAAGGGAATCCAGGCCCAAAGAAGGGAATGAAAGTAGACGGCGGGGGCTGGAAGCAAAAGCAACTCCAGTTGAGATATGTCACAACCCCAACTACAAACGTGAAAGAAAACCCACCAGACTTTTCCCCTGTGAACTCCCTAAGACGGTAGCCACTGTATTACCCCATAGGCCCTTTACACCCTAAAAAACCCTCAAAGCCCCATAAACCCTAGAACCCCTAAAACCCCGTAAAAGCCCTATATAAACTTATTATAACAAATCCTGCAACAACCCCTAAACGCTGTAAGCCCCCATACAAAGGCGTTCAACTCTGAGCACCTAGCCCTATACCCTAAACCCTAAACCCTAAACCCTGAACCTCCTAAAAGCACAAAGTCGGTCCACCAGGGCCCGCAGCGGTTCGCTGCGAAGGTCGGTGCCGCTGCACACGGTGCCGCGCCTTCAGGGAGTTTAGGGTTTAGGGTTTAGGGTTTAGGGTTTAGGGCTGGGGGTTTGGGGTTTATAGGGTCTTCAGGGAGTTTAGGGCTATAACGTGTTTACCGGATCTACAGGGTTGAGAAGGTTCATCGGGTTTAGGGTTTATAGGGTTTAGGGTTTATGGGGTGTATAAGGTCTATAGGGTTTACAGGGTTTACAGGGCTTACAGGGCTTACAGGCTTTATAAGGTTTATAGGGTTTATAGGGTTTAAAGGGTTTAAAGGGTTTAAAGTGTTTATAGGGTTTAGGGTTTATAGGTTATAGGGCTTAGGGTTCAGGGTCTATAGGTTTTAGGGCTTGAGGATTTGGGTTTTGGGAGGAGCGGGGTGGGCGGGGGCGCATCGGGGGCTTCGATGCTTCAGGGGCTGCAACAACGGGGTATGTCTCAGAACTTTGTACATCCAGTTCGTGCTCCACGCCCGCGAAATCTGTCTGGTTGCCCACAAGGAACGGCTTAGCTTTTAGAGCTTAAGGGCGAAGACGAGGTTCTCCAGCAACCTAGGGGCTATTGTTTCTTGTTTACCGTCTCCGATGGCTAAACGTTTGCCGTTCAGTCCCCAACATGTCCCAAAAGAGGTTTAGAGTTTCTAGGTTTGCCTTGTCAGCCCTCGGATAACTTATTACGAGCCCGAAGCCCTAAGCCTAAACCCTAAACCCTATAGCAACCCTACCTAAACTCCCCAGCTCCTCGTAAACCCGATGTCCAAACCCCATAAACCCTGTAAACCCTATAAACCCTATAAACCCCTCCGCCCCAAACCCTAACCCTAAACCCCCCAGCTCTATGACTGGCTGGTTCTTAGTAGGGAATGGGGGAATGGGAGACCCATGTATACTCACTCAACGGGTAAATATAGAGCTCTAATTCCCTCGTACCGTACTAAGAACCACGGGAACCCCTGAAGCCTAAACCCTAAACCCTAAACCCTAAACCCTAAACCCTAAACCCTAAACCCTAAAACCCTAAACCCTAAACTCCTCAGCTCCATGAGCGCCGGGCAAGTGCGCGTCGACCTCCAACAGTCCCCGGTCACCCTTCCTTGGCCGGAAGCTGCAGGTAGCCCAACAGCCCTTATAAGGAAGGGTTTGAGGGTTAGGGTTTAGGGTTTAGGGTTTAGGGTTTAGGGTTTGGGGTTTGGGGTTTCGGGTTTCGGGTTTCGGGTCTAGGGTTTCGGGTTTAGGGCTTGAGGACACAATGCCCTTAAGTGAGGACTAGGTGTCTTAAAGTCAACAAGGCCCTGAAACCTTACAAAGAACCAAGGTGGATCCCAGTTCATAAGCTAAGGCCCTGCAAAAACCAGCCGCGTGTCCAGCTCCCTCGAATTCAGATTCTGGCCTTCTTGGGATGCCATGAGGGACGCACCGCTGTGCACCCTTCGCTGCTGGCGTCTATACCACTGGGCCACCTCTCCTTGTTCGCTGCCCCCCCCCCCCCCCCCCCCCCCCCCCCCCCCAACTTCAAACCCTAAACCCTCTAAACCTTAAACCCTAAGCCCCAAGCCCTAACAGGAAGAACCCTCACTGTGTGGTTTAAGGGAAAGCGCCCGTGTTAAAGCCCAGGTTGTACCCTATGTGTATGCATGCCCCTTTGTCGGGTTTAGGGCTTCTAGCCCCTCTATACTAACCCCCCTAGCTTGCCCCCATAACTACGACTATTTAGGGAAAATAATTAAGGTTATGTAAGAGGGGGAACCCTGGGGGGGGGGGGGGGGTAGTAGGGGAACCCACGACCTTTGGGTCAGCTGGCTGCCAATGACATGGGGCTGCGTGCAAGTCCATGTGCACAGCCGAAGTCAAGCTGCGAACCCCGAAACCCTAAACCCTAAACCCCAAAAACCCTACACTGCATCTGTTGGCCTTTCTCCTTGTTGTAAGGCTTCCCGAAGCCTTCGATGAATGTTGGCAGCATCTCATTCTTGAGCAGGTTGATGTAGTTCGCTCCCGTTTCCTCTTGTTCTTCTCGTCTTTTCTGGGTCACAAGGCCATCGTGACGCATTCCTTCTCCGCACGAGAGACTACAAGAGTCGAAAGACCCATGAATCTGACAAGAACCCCTAAATACCGCTAAAACGTTTCTTCCTTATTGCTAGTCAGGATACCTTGACATTGACATACAAGCACCCGTTTTAGTATCTTGGCAAGGGACTGAAGGGGGCTCCCAAGGAAAGAGGGCCACCAAAACCCTAAACCTTAAACCCTAAATCCTAAACCCTAAACCCTAAACCCAGAGCTGCAATTGGAACCCTAAGCTGCAACAAGGCACAGAACCCCCAATCACGAACCGAAAAAAGACAAGCCCAAAACCATAAAGGGTTTAGGGTATATAGGGAAAAGGGTAGGAATATTCCTTAAACCATATAAGGAAACCTCGTATATTTTAAGGAGTATTCCCTAATTAAGGGTCCCTAAACCCTAAACCCCAAACCCCTCAACCCTAAACCCGATTCCTGAATTAAGGGGTAGTGGAGTCCCTGTGTAACCGCCAAGGCCCTGGCAGCTCAATTTCCACCGCATCCGTGAGACCAAAGCCTCTGATGGATCTAGGGCTTAGCGGGTTTAGGGTTTAGTGGGTTTACGGTTTAGTGGGTTGTGGGTGTAGGGTTTAAGGTTTAGGGTTTAGGGGGTGTTAGGGTGTATGGGGTTGAGGGTTGCATGAGGGGGGGGGGGGGGGGGGGTTGGGCTGAGGGCTCAGGTTCTGAGTCCTAGAGGCCTATGCCATAAAAGCGTGAGCCCTAGACGCTGTAACCCCAAATCTTTAGAACTCACTTCTTGTGACTTCATGACCTGTGCAGAGAAAGGCTTAGGGCTTCATAGTCATGTGTGTATATATATATATATCAATGTGTTTATGTACCTTTTATTTTATTCATGTATACGTTTATTCACTTGAATTGGTTTATAAATAAATTTGTATACGAAGTGCACCAATAAATGCACAAAAAAAACAATCAATGATAAATGCTGTTTGGGAACCAATCTTCCGGACACTATACGGTTAGGGAATGCGGCAGGCGGATCTCTGGGTCCTCCTCCCGCCCTTCTTGGAGGGTCGGAGGACTGTGGTTTATCAAGGCTAGGTTTGTTCGGGGATTGACAATGACTATGAGGCCTTATAGTATTCATGAAGGTGCTACTAGAATTTCTAAAGGGTTCAGGGGTTTGACCATGTATTAAGTGGGGATACGAATTAAGTAGGATAACACCCAATGATAGACCCTTTGAGGGCACTTATATACAAACTTTACTTGTCTAGACCCGGGAGTCACCCAGGAAAAAAAGGGTACCCTTTTTGGTTTTAGCGGGAATGTTAAGGGAACCCCAACCCAAAAAAGGAAACAAGGGCCTACTCCCGGTCCTAGCCCTAAACCCTAAACCCTAAACCCTAAACCCCAAACCCTAAACCCTAAACCCTAAACCCCAAACCGTAAACCCTAAACCCTAAGCCCTGCTACACCCCAGATCCTCCAGGAAGATCGCAAACCCAAAACGCCCCGCCTCGAGGTAAACTACTGCCACTGGGCCACGCGCGGCCTGGCAAGCTCCATAGAACCTACCTAAACCCTATTTAAATTTATATATATATATATATATAAATAGATAGATCATGTATATATAATGGTATAGGGTTTAGGGTTATGGCTTCAGGGCTGGATTCAAGGTGTTTTTGGGTTTGGGGATGATTTTGGGGACATGGTGGGTCTGCTGCGTCGAAAGGGATGGGAGCCATCGGCACCTTGAAGCGTTGTGGTTGCAGCTGTCTGCGGAGATTCCTCAGATCCTCTTGGCCGTAGGACTTCGGGCCATGTTGTACATGAAGCTGTTCAGGGGGGGGGGGGGGAGGGGGGCTTTGCGCCAGGAACGCCAGTACCCAGCGCGCTTGGTGGGGGGGGGGGGGGGGGGGGGGTTAGGTTACAAGGGAACCAGAAAAAAAACCTAACAACAAGGGAAGGAGGCCCACTCTGGGTTTCTAAAAGCTGTTGCCTGATAAGGTGGATCAAGGCACCTCAAAACAAAACCTTCAGCCCTTTCTAACCCCTACACCCTCCAAGGCCCCTCAACCTAAACCCCAAACCCTAACCCTATATAAACCCTAAACCCTAAAACCCCTAAAACCCCTACTTCAGCCCTGCACCCCAGAAGCTCCCCAGAAGCTCGCCCATGGGGCCTATGCCCCTTGGCAAGTCCAAGTCTACGTCAAAGCGGTGGAAGAAGTCCATACCTCGACTTCAGGGTTGCAGGTTGCAGGTGCTAGGGTTTAGGGTTTAGGGTTTAGGGTTTAGGGTTTAGGGTTTAGGGTTTGGGGTATAGCGTTTAGGGTTTGGGTCAGGTGATAGGACCTGGCGTTCTTAGTAGGGAACGAGGGACCGAGGGTCCTATATAATCCCTTGAAGGGTTTATATGGCGCCCTCATTCCCTCATTACCTACTAAGAACCGGGGAAGAAATTGGGGGGGTTTAGGATTTTGCCTCCTGGCAGCGATATTTCACAGGACCTATCAGCCACAAAACCGCAGCCCGACAGCTGTCCGATAGCTTCAGATCGTAGCCAGGCTACTATAGGGGTACCCCTTTTATACGCCAAATAGAATGGAATCACCTCAAAGCCCCCCCCCCCCCCCCCCCACCCAAAAAAAAGGGTACCCTTATTTTCGGAAACCCCCATGTTTATAGGGTTCTTAAGGAGGGCGGGGGGGGGTCAAGGGAGGTAGGGACCTAGGGAACCCTAGGGAAGCTTCGGGAGCCTTAGGGGGCAGTGGGGAGTATCAGGGAACTTTGGGTTACATACCCCCGTTGAACCCCCCCGCCCTGAAGAACCCTAGAACACTCTGTAGAGGTTTCCGAAAATAGTACCCTTTTTTTTGGGGGGGGGCCCTTATTGAGCGCATTACATCAACCCTAAACCCGAAACCCTAAAACCCTACTTTTGGAAACTCCCATGCCGCAGTGTCGGAAGCTACCGAGCCAAGTGATGTCTTAGGCTCGGACCCAGCAGCCCCGCGATGTCTTGGGTGGAAGATCCCAACCTTCAGATGGTGAATTCATATCATCCCCCTCTAAAGCCTAAACCCTAAACCCTAAACCCTGAACCCTGAACCCTAAACCCTAAACCCGAAACCCTAAACCCTAAACAACCCTCAATGTAACTGGGCCCCGGTATGACAGCAAGGAAGTTAATGGCTTGGCTGCAGGGTCTGTACCATCTTCAGCCCGGCAACGGCTTCGCGTTTAGACTTCAGGGGGCCCTCCTCCTTGACAGCCTAAACCCTAAACCCTAAACCCTAAACCCTAAACTCTAAACCCTAAACCCTAAACCCTACACCCCAAACCTTAAGCCCTAAACCATAAACCCTAAACCCTGACAAAATATACCCGGAGGCAAGTAGGAACCTGGAGGTCGCTCGATAGCAACGTAACCATAAGATACGATAGCAACGTAACCATAAGATGATAAGGGTTTAGGGTTTAGGGTTTAGGATCTAAAGTTCAGGGCGTAGGGTCTAATATATATAGTTTAGGGTTTAACAGTTTAGGGTTTAGGGTTTAGATGGTTAAGGTCTGCTTCTTACTTTGAAGGCCTGGGGTCGTGGGTTGCCTTGGAACTGTTTGACTTGAAGGCCCATGCGCACGCAGCCAAGTGCCCAGCACAACCGAGCCGTCGGGTACGACTTGAACCTGACTGCGAGATCGTCATGCTGTTCTCCAACCCAGAGAGACCAATAAACACCTTTTGTTAGGAATCTGCCTTAAACTACATGGGCATCCTTATGACTTGAGGCACATTCCTGAATCAAGGGGTCTTGGGATCTTTGGGAAGATTCGTGCTTGCTCAGTGTCAGGTAAAATATGGTCGATTGTTTGGGTCCTTCTCTATGACGGACTCTTTGGTTGAGTGCGCTTCTCTATGACGGACTCTTTGGTTGAGTGCGCTCAAACAGGGACGCTCCTTCAGGATAACTGACCTCATGGCATGCCATATGGCTCAGGGATCATAGTCACATGGCGGTACAAAACCCTAAAACTTAAACCCTAAACCCTGAACCCTAAACCCTGAGCACGCAACCGCGAATCAAAGTTTCTATCTGATGTGTCAAAATATCCTGCAACCCTTCCGGCTACACCTCCAAGACTGATCTTCGAGGGGATCCTATACTACGCCAACTAAACCCTAAACCCGAAACCCCAAACCCTAAACCCTAAACCCTAGTAAGTTTAGGGTTTTCTTTAGGGAAACTTTAGGGTCTAGGGTTTTGGGTTTCGGGGATGACTGAAGTGACTGAAGTGAGCTTTACTGGGGCCGTATTTGGGTGTAGGTTCACGTTGGGGGGTGGAAGATCCCATCGGAGGTTCATGGCTAGTTATAGTCATAAATAGAGATATAAGGACGGCAACTATACTTCTAACCCTACTTATGTCCAACAAATTCTAATCCCATTTAGGGTAATTATAACCCTACTTGTAACCGATTGTAGCCACCTCCACGTAACCGGAGAGAGAATTGTCTGGCCAAGGCACGTCTAATTCTCCAACGGGTTCGTTGGCAAAATGCAAGCATTGCACAGGCCTCGGGCCAACGTCACACTAGCGGGCTTGCCCGGACACCTATTGGCATGAGGCACGTTGTCCCAAACCCTAGAAACCCTACATGCAGAGAGCGTGAACTCTAAACACAAGCGGCTCATGGCCAGGTCAAAGGCAAGTACCCTGGGACTCCAATACCCCTTCAATTAAGGAATATGGTCTTTAAACTGTAATAGGGTTCCTTATATGGTTGAACCAATATTCTTTCTTAAGGGGTATTGGAGTCTCTGGGCTAAACCCTGAAACCAAACCCCTGGACCAATATTGACTCATTGAGGCTGTGGGCTGTTTGGGTTGTTAGACCGAACCTCCACCTTTGGATCATGCTGCGGTCCTATGTTTGTGTGCGTCCTTGAAAATCTTCTTCTGGGAGGGGGGTTTAGGGTTTAGGGTTTAGGGTTTAGGGTTTAGGGGCGAGACGTAAACTTCAATTGAAACTGGGTCTGGCGGGGGGGGGGGGGAGGGGGGAGGGGCGTCCAAGTACTTCCAAGCCTGCTTCACACCACCATGAGCCTCCCATTCTGTGGCCCAAAGCCCATCTTCATCGCCGTGACCAAAAGAATCCTATCTTGGCCATAATAGCGCCCGCAGGACCTGAGTAGGTGCTTTGATTGAAAGTCTCCTCCTCAAGTAAAGTGTATTGAACTCTCTGGGATCATCTCCCTAAACCCGGAACCCGAAATTCCAAACTCAACACCTTAAAGGCTAAACTTAAAACACCCCACCCCCAAGAAGGGACCCTTCATCTTATTCCCCTATATAACCGCTATATATATATATATAGATATATGCATATGTATTTTATATATAGTCCCTACAAACTTAAGCGCTCTTAATAAACCCTGAATAACCCTTATAAGGGTCCCCCCCTTTATTCCCTTGACACAAGGATTCTCTTACTGTTGGTTAGCAGGGAATGACGGAATGAGGTACCCTATATAATCCATTAAAGGGTATATAGGGGGATATGGGGTACCTCATTCCCTCATTCCCTGCTAATTAACCAACAGTAAGTTCTTGGTCTCCTTAGCGCCCGGCCCCCCATCCGGAGCAACTCCAAGCGATTTGGCGTAGCTGGCAGCGACCGCACTCCTGTCGCATTCGGTTCGAAACCCTAAGCCCTAATCCCTAAGCCCTAAGCCCTAAACCCTAAACCCTAAACCCTCAACCCAACCTGCGGCTGAATTGGGGGTTGCAGGGCCCTTCCTTGTGCCCTTAGCCCACTAGCTGTGTTGCCCAGTCACCTAGGACCAACAAAGGGTGCCTAAAACCCCCCAAAAGGGAATAAGGGGAATACTGGGCATCCCAGTTAAACAGAAACAATCCGAAGACCGCCCAAGACACGACTTTAAAACCCCCATCTGAGGGGTTTAGGGTTCAGGGCTTAAGTTAAGGGTTTATAAGGTTCAGGGTTCAGGGTTTAGGCTTTAAGGTTTGGGGGTGTAGGGGCTGGTCGTCGGAGAAAGATACTGCGGAGAGTTGCTTGAACAGGGGAGGGAGGGAATTTAGCGCTTTAAGGGATCTAGGAATGTAGGGTTGAAGTTCAAGCTTTCAGGGTTGGCCAAATTCGGCCTTGAAGTTTATGCGTGTTTCCGCGGTTCAGGTTGAATGCTTAGGGTTTAGGGTTTAGGGTTTGGGGTTTAGGGCTTTTAAGGGGCCTACGCTTTCAAGGGGAATTTAGGCCTCAAGGGTCTAGAGCGTAAGGTACCTGATCAATTTTGGCCTTTCAAGAGTTGCGCTGTAGGTGCCGGCGTGGAGATCTCCAAGGCCTAAACCCTAAACACTGAACCCTAACTAAGGGTTTAAGGGTTCATACCGGGTCTGGGGTTTACAAAAGGGAGAAACCCCAGTCCCGGCAACCCGAAACCCTAAATCCTAAACCCTAAGCCCGAAAAACCCTAAACCCTAAACCCTAACCCCTATAAACCCTAAACCCTTAATAGGCCGAGCCCGAGCCTTTTGAGGGAGGTGTCCAGCCTGAGCGAACAGCAAAGGGGCACGAAGATGCAAACGGCCGGAGCTTGAGGTTTAATTAGGGCTTAGGGTTTACGACCATCGGAAGCTTCCCTGTAGCTTTGGGGTCTGAAGGTTGAAGGTTTTCGATTTAGGGTGTGTTTGCTGGAAGTCTAGAACATACCGGACCGGTTTCTCATCATTTCCTTGAAAGTCTTTGAAACGACTCCTGCGCGTCGAGCCACCTGTCTTAGTGCCCTCCAAGTTCAGTAAGCAGCTTGGGGCAAATAGGGCTTAGTGTGTTGCAAATACTCTGTTGACAAATAAGCAATGTTTGTCCCATTACAAAGGGCGCCCTTCAACCTGCACTCCGGCCCTATACTTACCGGTTTAGGGTTTAGGGTTTAGGGCTTAGGGTTTAGGGTTTTTACTCCTTGCAGGGGGGTGTTACTTCGAGGAAACTGTGAAGCAGCGTTCGCTGCTATTACGTCCACTACCAACACCAAGCCATCTAAGCCCTAACTAAGAGCAACCCTAACCCCTAAACCCTAAACCACAATCCCTCAAAGCTCTCTCAACACGATACAGCCTAGTCAGCGAGGGCCGCGCACAAACCACCGCGGGCGCTCCAACGGCATCGTTTTCGACCACAAAGGCAGGGCCTGTGGTCTTGTTGAGGGTGTGGGGTTTAAGGATTTTCGTCTGAAATACATTCTCAGGCGGGATTAGGTTCGGGGCTGAGCATCGAGCGCTCAGGAGTTTGAAGCAGGCCTGTATAAATCAACCCTGTAAAAGCCTATCAATCCCTGTAAGCCCTTAAAAATTCCCTATAAGCCCTAGAAGACCCTGCAAGGCCATCTACCCTACAATGATCCTGAAACGCTTAAATAGGGGTATAAGAACTGGCAAGATACCCCCCTCCCAAACCACTGGCTGGTTCTTAGTAGGGAATGAGGGAATGAGTACTCCATATAATCCCTTAAAGGATATATATAGGGCCCTAATTCCCTCATTCCCTGCTAAGAACCAGGGGGACCACTCCGCATCCGCGCAAGCCGCAGCGGCAGGTATCATTCTTCATGTCAGTCAAGTGCTTGTGAAGTTGCTTGCCGATTGTTCGTCTCATGTAGGGTTTAGGCTTAAGGGTTTAGGTTTTAGGGCTTTAGGGTTAGGGTTTAGGGTTTAGGGCTCAGGGTTTAGGGATTTAGGGCTTAGGGTTCAACCCTGGGGTACCCCATCCCTCAAAAACCTCTACCCCCCGACATCCGCGCCGGCTGGGAGCACCCGGCCAAGCGCTCCCCGTCCGTGAAGGCCCCGGATGGCACGAGGTCGTCATGATGGGGTCGGACCTCTTGGGTTTAGGGCTTAGGGTTTAGGGTTTAGGGTTTAGGGCTTAGGGTTTAGGAAAAAGAGTTTGCGGCTTAAAGAGTTGTTCAGGATGCAGGGTTTAGGTTGGCTTGGGGCGGATTCAGGGGGGGTGGACTTCAGAAGATCCTGCATCTGTTGGTTACTGGCACCAATTCTTCTCCTGTCTGTCCTAAAGGGTTTAGGGTTTAGGGTTTAGGGTTTAGGGTTTAGGGTTTAGGGTTTAGGGTTGTTTTTTAGGGTCTTGTGTTTCGGGCTTGAGACAGCAAAGAACGAGAAATCACGAGATAGAACTTAAGGCGGATGAACCCCGAAACTCAGCCGGGACACTACATTCAGGCCGAAGATGGCCCAAGGCACAGCAAATCGACCCTAGAATAACACTACTTGGAGGTTCATGGTACTTACTAGCCAATTATAACTGTACTTATAACCCCACTTCTAATACCCCTAAAGGGCCTTATAGGGGCTAAACCTCCAAGTAGGCCAAGGCTTAATGGTTACGGGGGAACATGAAATACAAAGACTACCTTGGGCTGTGGAGTTCCCAGTATAGGGTGGTAGGGGTCCAGGGTTTGCGGCTGAATTCGGGTCTGGTGTGTGGGAGTTGAGGGCTTAGGGTGCTTGACCCCAACCGAAGCCATCCTCAAGTCCTCAAATCCTTTAACACCCGAAGCTGCAAAGAACCAAACACTCCCTAAACCCTAAACCCTAAACCCTAAACCCTAAACCCTAAAGTTTAAAGCCTATACCCTAACCCTAAACCCTAAACCCTAAACCCTATTATATGACCCTAGGCCCTAAACCCCAAAGTCCCAAACACCTTAGCATCCCAAAGTCGCGCCAAAACCTCAACACAACCCACAGCCCCAACACCCTAAACCCTAAACCCGAAACCCTAAACCCAAACAGCTTGCACCCCAAACTCTAATCCCAAATATTTTTGAGCCCTAGGAAAAAACCCCAAACCCTAAATGCCCTTTTCCCTGAACCCTAAACCCTAAACCCTAAACCCAACACCCTTAAAGCTCCAAGACCGGGACCCTCTGCAAGGCAACGATGATGGGCGGCTCGTCCACCTGCCCCAGTCGCGCAATGCTCACCCCTCAGTTAAGGGTTTAGGGTTTAGGGTTTGGGGATTCCCAGAGGGGCTCCAGCACAAAGGGCGCCAGCAATGCAAGGGTTTAGGGTTTAGAGCTTAGGGGGTTCAGGCTTGGGGCTTTGCCTTAAACCTAGTTGTCCAGTACTTAGTGGAACTAAAGGTTCACCTTTAGGATTATAGGGGATTATATTGCCCCAAAAAGGTTAAAGGTTACCGACTCTACGACTCAGTAAACCTCGGACAGCTATTGGCCGGAGTGCCTGCCTACTCACCTGAGCCACGGGGACTTGAAACCCGACTAAAGAACTTTTCATGTTTAAGGTTAGGGCTTCTCTGAAGTCTTACGGGCTTCAGGATGTAGCATCATCCTGGCAGTTTGGGGATGGAGGGTTTAGGGTTTAGGGTTTAGGGTTTAGCGTTCAGGGTCTCTGAACTGAAGCCCACCACGCAGAGGTTGGGTTTAGGGTTTTAGGGTGTGAGAGCAACCAACATATACCGCTTAAAAAGGGAAAGATGCCGATTCGCTGTAATCATAGAGGTAACCCTGAAGCCAAAACCCTAAACCCTAAAAAACTAAACCCTGATCTCTACAATTCGGGCCTGCGCCGCTAGGCGCCGACGTCGGCGGCCAGCGGAGTCTGCGGCACAGGGCATCACTTGCACAAAAGAGCCCTTAAAACCCCTCAAGAAAGGATTAGGGTTTGTATAGGGTTTAGGGTTTAGGGTTTAGGGCTTGTATAGGGTTTGAGGTTTGGGGTTTAGGGTTTCGGGTTGAGGGCTTGCGGTTTAGGATTGATGTGATGGGGTTTATGGTCTAGGGTCATACCTTAGACCATGAAGAGACCTTGCTATGTTTTAAGGTGTATTCCTTGCTTATTTGAGGGGCATGGCTCTTTGGGCAGGGCGCGGATATCTAAGAGCCCCAAAGTCCCGTTAAAGTCCCCTAATGAAGGCACACACCCTCACCAAAGAGGCCTTGGGCTCTTTAGGATTTCGCCCAGTCGTCCAACACATCGCAGAGATCTTAAACCATAAGAAAGGTCGCTCGGTGATTTTTAGGAATTGTCCTCAAAGTGCTTTTTCTGCTCCCCAAGATGGAGTTGAAGTCCTTTTCTAGACCCAGGAGTAACCTAGGAATAAGAAGGGTGCCCTTTTTGGTTTGAGGGGATTCTAAGGGAACCTCAACCCTAAGAAAAGGAAATAAGGGCCTACTCCGGGTCCTAGTTTTATAACCCTGATAGAACTTGTGGAACCTCAAGAGGCTGATCGGTAAGTGGCCAAATTCTGCGGCCATGCCACCAAATACCCTCTTGATTAACGAATACACCCTCAACAAAAGAGGAGCCCATGTTCTGACTAACCCCTACGGCCTAAACCCAAAAAGCCGAGTCCAAAACTATAAGGAGAGCAACCCTAAACCCTACTTGGAGATTCATGGGTAGCCAGAAGTAGGGTTATAAGCGTGGTAACTATACTTCTAACCCTACCATTCAGGGGACATATAACCCCACTTGCAACTACTCATGAACCTCTAAGCATCTTGCCACCTGCTAGTTCATGGTTGGGATAATATTAAAAATCTAATTTGTTATTCCTTATTGGGCTTAAGTACCCTTAAAAATGCAAAATGTTTCCCAACTAAGACAAAGACTAGTGTACAGTGCAACGACTAGGGCTGCGGCGTGGCAGCACGCCGCTCGCAGTTCCCAACTCTAGCAGCATCTGCCTGGCCAGTTTTCCTAAACCCCACGAGCTGTAAGCCCTAAACCCATAGCCCTAAAACTCTCATTAAAGTCCCCTAAACCCTAAACCCTAAACCCCAAACCCTAAACCCTAAACCCTAAACCCAAAACCCTAAACCCTATAAACCCTAAACAAATTCCACCAAAGACTGCAAGTCGCTATGCCTATGGCCCGAATTACTCTTTCGGTTTTTGCTTCATCGTTTTTTTCTCTATTTTCTCTCTCTCTCTCTCTATTCTCTCATCCTTTCCTTAGGGGGTTATAGTATCCCAAAAAGTGTAAAGTGTGCTGAGCTACTAAGTGTCTTTGTTGGAGCTCAGATCGCACAGCAGCCAAACTGCAAACCGCTAAACCCCAAGGCGCTCAAGCTCAAACCTCCCCCCAAAAAAAATTGAAACCCAAGCCGAAAGCCCACAAGCCTATAGCCTAAACTATGCAGAATGGTTATGAACCCACCAGTCTCTAAACAGCCTAAACCTTAAACCCCCTAAATCCCTAAACCCTAAACCCTTCAACCCCTGGACCCTCAAAACCTCAATCCCTAAACCCTCAAATCCTCTAAACCCTAAACCCTAAACCCCCAACTCCTCACATGCAGGTCCGAGGAGCTTGTCGGGGCTCGTGTCGGTATTTAGGCCCCGTAGCTGTAGCTCCCGCCTGATCGTCGTGTTTAGCGTTTAGGGTTAATTCGGAACTGAAGGCGATTGAGGATGCTAGCCTTATTCGGGAAAGGCTTCTGTCCCCAAAGCTCTGCTCTTCACCCTACACGCAACAGCATCCGATGTAGGGCTTTCCAGATAGTAAAGGTCTCTCCCCCTTTACCCCTCCAAAATGGACCCTACACCCTAAACCCTAAACCCTAAACCCTAAACCCTAAACCCTAAACCCCCCTTGTAAGGACACCCCCCATCAAAACCACTCAGTGTTCGCAAACTTCCATCAGTGCCTAGGCTAGATTTGTTCAACCCTAAACCCTAATAAACCCTAAACCCTAAACCCTAAACCCGAAACCCTAAACCCTAAACCCCAAACCCTTGTGGAGATGCCCTGGACCCCCTGAACGATGCCGCCGTCCCCGCCCACCCTGCTTCGGGCAGCGCAAACCAAAGCCGGGAGGACGCAAAGCTCTTTCGGGCTTTCCCCTGCATGATCGCCACCCCGCTAACCCCGTGAAAAACCCCTTAGCCTTCAACCCTAGACCCCTCCTTCCCAGAGTATCCCATGTACCTTTTCGGGAAGGCAACAAAATGTACTTAATAGATAAGGCATGTTGTGGGTTGCTCTATCTGGCAGGGCCCCCCTTACGATACAAACTGCACTTCAAAGGTGTTGTGGCCCAATCCATAGCACTTACAAGTAAGCCGATTCTGAGCAATGCACAGAAAAAAGGCCCTTAGAACTCTACTTATAACTTGTGGGCCCCTTCTTGGAGGTTCATGGGTAGTAATAAGTAGGGTTATAACTCTGGAACCTATACTTCTAACCTTATTCAAGGTACTTCTCGAACCCTACCTACCTATAACTACCTAAATGGACCTCCAAGAAAACACCCTAAACCCTAAACCCTGAACCCTAAACCCTAAACCCTGAACCCTAAACCCTAAACCCCAAACCCAAAACTTTCCAGATCAATCTCTGAGCTCAGGGCCGCAAGTCGCGCGCCGACATCTCCAGCCTCAGTCTATACTCCCCTTAGACCTTAGAACCTTAATAAACATAATATTTCTAATATACTCTTGGGTTTTATAACAACAAACATAAAGAATAATTCCCAAGGGGGATATAGCAGTGGGGGGGGTGGGGGGGCATCGGTGACCCTTTTCTCGTAGCGTCTCGGGCTTCGGGTTTACAGGGTTTACAGGGTTTACAGGGTTTGGGGACTTTTTGTTTCAGGTTTTAGAGGGCTTGTAGGGCTTATAGGGTGTACTGTATAGGGTTTACAGGGTTGAGGGTAAAAAGGTGCAAGGGTTTATAGGGTTTAGGGTATATAGGGTTTGGGGTTCAGGGTTTTGGGTTTATAGAATCACCTTGTTGGTTAGAGTTGAGGGTCCGTTGTTCCCATGACAAGAATGAGCTTGGGTAGCTTTCTAAGTTAGCGTCCGTTTTGGGGGGGGTCCTTTCTACCAGGTGCAGTACTTTACAGGGGCCCCAAAAAGAGAACTACCCATGTAGATGGGTTTAGGGTTTAGGGTTTAGGGTTTAGGGTTTAGGGTTTAGGGTTTAGGGTTTAGGGTTTAGGGTTTAGGGTTTAGGGTTTAGGGGGGCGGAGTGCAGATGAACATTCAGCACTTCGACACCAGCGTCTCGAAGAGCAAAGTGGATGGACGAATCTGCAAGAAGGTGCTTGGGCTTAGGGCTTAGGGCTGAGGGTTTCTAGATTAGGTTTGGAGAATCCCGGGTCTAGGGTCTAGCGTTTGCTTAGGGCTGTTGGGCTTTGGGAGCCCATCTTGTGCATGGCGAGGGAGTGGTTCTGTTGATGAGAGATCCTATGAAGGACCCTGATTTATAACTTTGTGCGCTGTAGCCTTTTTACCCGAAGCCCTAGCCCTGTAAACCCTAAACCCTGAACCCTAACCCCTAACCCCTAACCCCTAAACCCTAAACCCTAAACCCTAAACCCTAAACCCTAAACCCTAAACCGCGTTGGAGGAAAACTGGGGCAAGCACAGCCTCTCGGCGACGCTGCGCTCTGCCACCGCGATGGCCTCGACTCGCATCTCTCAACCATCGGCTAGGATGGGTTTAGGGTTTAGGGTTTAGGGTTTAGGGTTTAGGGTTTAGGGTTTAGGGTTTAGGGTTTAGGGTTTAGGGTTTAGGGTTTAGGGTTTAGGGTTTAGGGTTTAGGGTTTAGGGTTTAGGGTTTAGGGTTGAGGGTTTAGGGTTTAGGGTTTAGGGTTTAGGGTTTAGGGTTTAGGGTTTACCCTTGTAACCTCTTTAAAAAAAGGCCCCTGTATACGACTATACCCTTACAAACCCCAAACGCGCCCCCTGCATACCCCCCCCCCCCCAAAACCCCTTAAACAAGGCCCCTACTGTACCCTTCTGCACCCCGAAACAAAGCCCCGACTATACCCTTTTTAGTTTTTTAACCCCTTCGAAAGGGCCCTTTGTCGGATGACAAGGCCGAAAATAGCCCATCCTCGGCCTTGCAGCAGTTTAGCCGGTCCTGTATTCAGGGTTGAGGGTTATCAGAGTTCAGGGTTTAGGATTACGGGGCTTTTAGGCTTTCGGCGGATTGGCTTCCGGGCTTATTATTTAATTACGGGTTCCCGAAACAAGTGAGATCTAGGCATAGCCTAGGTACCGCTGTTTTGCCTATCTTTTTTTTGCTTAAGCAAGTGAGTATGCTGGAACCCTACAACCCTAAACAGGCGCTTCTTACTTGCTGAGTTCATAAGGCCCCAAAAAGTGTACCCTTTCAGCTCTACTACAGGGGATTATAGTATCCCAAAAAGTGTAAAATCCAGCTACTAAGGCTTTGAGCTCTGGGGCGCCCTACGCCACCAGCCGAGCCCCCAATGCTCCGATGGCGGGTCTTTGCACTCCGGCGACCTCTGCTTGAAGCTTTAGGGTTTAGTGTTGAACATGGTGTGGTAGGAGACTGGCAGGAGAGAGTTTGAGTGTAGCCGTGCGTTTTGCACTGCTCTGTTTGCACAGCAGCCTCTATTTTGTTTCTGCGATTGGGCTGATACATACGCATGCAACACGCAAGAGGCAGTGCAAATGACGTTTGCACATCTACAGCACTTACAGCACTAACCCCCCTGTACAGCCTGAATCCAACACATGACAACCGTACTGAGTGGCTTCACAGCAATAGCAAGCGGTTCCAAGGACACGGAAACTGCACTGAAACCCTCAACCCTAACGGGGGTGGGGGGGGAGGTTCATCCCGGCTCCCTACACCCACAGTACAACCAACACCCTTGCGCGCTACGCCGTTCAAATGCAGCGGTTGCAGAGCTTAAGCCTAAGCCCTAAACTCTATGGGTTTATGGGGCTCGTGGAGTGAGTATTCAGGACTATGACTTGGCTGCAGCCCTCGTATCGTTCTTTCAAGCCGCCCGCAACACACGAGCATACCTCTCAGGGTCTGGTTCTCCAAGCCCTACACCGTAAACCGTAAACCCTACCCCCTAAACCCTAAACCCTAAACTTTGCCCTAAACCCTAAACCCTAAACCCTAAGCCCTAAACCCTAAGCCCTAAGTCCTAAGCCCGAAGCCCTAAGCCCCAAGCCCCAAGCCCCAAGCCCTAAGCCCTAAACCCTAAGCAAGTACTGCTCCTTATGACTTCGGAGACCCGACCTGGAGCTTCCTCCCACGAGAAGGCGCACGGCATGTAGTACCCTAAGCCCTAAACCCTAAGCCCTAAGCCCTAAGCCCCCTAAACCCTAAACCCTAAACCCTAAACCCTAAACCCTAAACCCTGAACCCTGAGCCCTGAACCCTAAACCCTACAAGACCCAGTCAAACCGAAACGACCTCAGACCGAAGAAACCTTCACTGCTCAGAGCCCTGAACCACAGCCTAAGCCACCTCGAGAATCCCTGTTTAGGGTTTAGGGTTGAGGCTTTAGGGTTTAGGGTTTAGGGTTTCGGGTCCGTTCTTGCGCGGCCTCGTCCTAGCAAGTATGCGCCGGTGCACAAGGCCGCCTGCTCGAAGAGCGGCTTGGGGTTCACAGTGCTGCCATTTGGGTGGCTGTCAAAATGATGGTCCTTTTTGGGGGTATTTACCCTAAATATTAGGTGCCGTATTCTAGTAGGGATGCAAAAAAGGACCATAATTTTGAAAAAAAACACCAATTTGTTGTCATAGTGCAGCTGCCATGGAGTCAGAAATTTGCTGTGGGTTGGGTGTTTTATTATGAATTTAAGAAGATATCCGTGCGGTCTTCAACTTTCGGACCATCGTACCCCGGTTTATGGTTTAGGTTACAGGTTTAGGGTTTAGGATTCTGGGCTTAGGGTTTAGGGTTCAGCTAGATCTCTAAACTGTACTCCTTTTTACGGGTCCTTTTTTACAAGGTGCCGTGTCATATAGGGACCCAAAAAGGGAACCAAATGTAGAGAACTGCCATGCATTATAGCAAGGGGTACCCTTCTTGAATCGTTTTGGGCTTGCTTTCCCCTAAACCCTAAACCCTGAACCCTGAACCCTGAACCCTAAACCCTAAACCCTAAACCCTAAACCCTAAACCCTAAACCCTAAACCCTAAACCCTACTGGCTAGGGAACCAAGAAGCCCCAAAGGGCAAAATGGTGCCTCTAGGCTGCCAAGGTTTACGGGTTTACGAGGCAACGTCTCTGCCCCGGACAGGTCACTCATACTCTGCCAGGGGGCGTCCTCTGCTGATTCTTTGGGCGCGGGTGCTGCGCCGAATGCTCGGCAGGTGTTTCTCAAAATGGGCACAGAGTCGCAGGTGCTAGTAGCTAAAGCCTAAGCCCTAAGCCCTAAGCCCTGAGCCCTAAGCCCCAAGCCCCAAGCCCTAAGCCCTAAAAGCCCCAAGCCTGTAGCCTTAAGCCCTGTAAGCCTATAAGCCCTAAGCCCTATAAATCAGTTAAAGCACGAATGGATAAATATACAAGTTAAAACTAAGTTGAAAATGAACATGAAAAACACGAAAGGCCAAACAAACGAACAAACGGATGCATGAATCCATGATAACAAATGGTTTCTTTGTCATGCGGTATACTCTTCATCTTCCAGGTCAAGCGCGAGGGCTCAGGATTTAAGAGGTTCAGGGTCTAAAGGGTATAAAGACCTTGCAGACCACATGAACCGAACAATTGGGATCTTATAATACCCTATGCTACTATAATCCTTATTAGGGTATATGAACCATAGACCCTTTTAGGGTTCATTTGGTCTTTAAGGGGGTTCCCAAAGAGCCGATACCCTTGATGAAGGAATGCGCCCTAAATCATACTAAGGACCCCTATACATTTTAAAGTATATCCCTTACCCTAAACCCTAAACCCTAAACCCTAAACCCTGGGTATATTGATTAAGGGGTTTTGGGCTCCCTGTGTTGAGTGCTTTGTGCTGAAGGCCTGTGACGCCAAGCCATCCAGCTGCAAAGGCGCGGCGAGTCCTGGCAGGAAAGCGTTCCTCCAACATAGGGCCGACATAGGGCTGTTTAGGGTTTAGGGCCTAGGGGTTTAGGGATAGGGGTTAGGGTTCGGTTGAGGGTTGTCGGTTTGGGGTCCTCAGCCCTAAGCCCTATACGCGCAATCCCCGAAGTTCGGCGGAGTGAGCTGGGGTGGCGAATAAGGCCAGGGAAAAGTGGTTTTAATGCAGTTCTCGGTGCTTGGAGACTGGCAGGTAGGTCAATGTGACGCAAGAAGGCGTCCACGGATGTTGGCGGAAAAGCCCCGCCGCGAGTGCTGCATTCCGGTCTCCCTTACTCCACCTCATAATTTTGGTTTAGGGCGTAAGGACTTCCAACATATCTCAGAATTCGTATGAGCCAAGTTAAGGCCCTCGAACCTCTGCTTTTGTGTACTTTTTGTAGGGTTTGGGGCCAAGATGTATACTTAGTTGTCCGAACGTAGATGCTAAAAAAGGGGCACTCATGCTAGCTTCGTGGTTTCGCAGTGGAACCTTAACCCCCCCAAAAGGGAATGAAGGTATCACTGGGCGTCGTCAGATGAGCTGCTTGTTCAGTTGTAGGCAGGAGCTAGGTTGCATACGCAAGGACCATTTAAGTGGAATGGGTGTGATTTGGGGTGGTTTAATTAGCGTATAATACGGTTATACCGGAACATACAAGGGGATCAGATTGTGCATTCGTAACCTGCATTAACGATTGAAGGCAAGAAGTGGTGTTGCCTCCTTACCGAAATCAACATGCACAACTGCCTAAACCCCAAAACCTCAACCCTCATAGTACCCTTACTAGTAGACTTTTCGCCCCAAGCTAAGGGGTATAAAAGGCCACAATTGTGGGTAACTTGACGATTTAGGAACCCTCACCTCCAAACTAAGCTCGAAACCCAACAAAAACAAAACAACGTGCGACTCCTGCGTGACGTGGGGCAGTGTAAGGCACCGTGGCGCGCGGTTGCCAGGTCTGGACAAGGGATCCACGAGGTCCAAGATTTCAGGAGGGAAGCCCTAAACTCTAAAACCAAATGGGGGTTTACGACATTCGGGGTAATTTATAGGGGTACATGTTATAAGGGGATCCGACTGTTTGGGTGTCTAAATTGGGTTTTTTATTTTCGTAAACTCCCAAATATCTCCTAACCCTTGGAACTCTGAAGCCTGAAGCCCCAACCTTAAACCCTACACCCTGAAGGCCAAATCCTAAAGGCTAAACCCTGACATAGTACTCTCACATGGAGGTTTCCGAATATGTGGGTACCCTTTTGCGTTGTCCTACATGACTGAGGATTACAGCATGTTGAGGTGTGTTTGGGGTCCCGAATTCTGGGAAATACCCAAATGAAAGCAGCTACGGCCTCTGGTGCCAGAGGAAGGTTCTCCATTGCTCGGCACTGGCTGTTGAGGGTCTCGAGTTTAGGGTTCAGGGCGGGGATTGGGGTTTGGGGTTTAGGGTTTGGGGTTTAGGGTTTAGGGTCGGTGGCTTTGTTAGTTATGTGCGGTAGGGGGAGCGGAGAGGGAGCCTGGGCGTACTCAAGGCCTTTCAGGGTCAGGGCTTAGGGAAGTTTAGGCCAATTCTTGCGCAAGGGGGCTTGGGCGGTTTTGGACTTCAGTCAGGGCAGTTTACATATGCCTTTTGGGTTTCTTTGTCGGCTGTTGTCCTTGCCAAAGAACCCACATGAGATGTGGCGTTGAGCAAGAAGCTGCGCACCCCTGGACCATAAAAACCTGCATCTGCATGCCCGCGCACCCGCGTGCGTGCGAGTATTTCCCCCAAGCAACCTGGGTGGAAGGGTTTTGGGTTAGGGCTGTGGGCATCCTAAACATGCCACATGGGAACTTGCTGAAGGAACAAGAACATGCGATGCGAAGACAACCCAGGAAGCCCAATACCCCTCAATTAAGCTGTATACCTTGAAGCATATAGGCTATTCGAACCTTTACTAGAACAAATTTCTGAACATCCTTCCCCAGCTTTAAATCATCAAACATAAAAGACGGTTCCGCAAGGGGGCTTTCTGTGCATTCAGAGTGCTCCCCCAAAATATGGGGTATTTGGCTACTCTCGGCCTTAAGCGCTGAAATCCTGAATCTCCCTACCCCTCCCTCCCACTACAATCGGCTGCTGATGTAGGGTTGAGGGTTTCGAATTTAGGGTGTAGGGTTTAGGAAGTCCCCAAAGGTTTTCCTGTTTTGGTATTGGCATGTGCTGGAGCACGATGTGAGGTGGCTGCTCGAGAAGAGCCTTCGAGCACGTTCTGCATAAGAGTCGAACCTCCTCACCCTAATTGAAGCCTGCCACAAAGACCATAAACCCGAAACACTAAACCCTACACGGTAATTCCTAAACCCTAAACCCTAGCCCTAAACCCTAAACGCCCATGTGCCACTAAGTTTAGGCTCTGGCACGCCTAAGCTCCAAAACAACAAGCCGCCCTTCTCGGCATTCACGCGGGAAGGCCCGCGAGTGCTTCGAAGTTCATGGTACTTATTAACCAATTCTAGCTGTACTAATAAGGTTTAGGGTTTAGGGTTTAGGGTACTGTACTTATAACTGTACTTTATAACCATATTCGGGCACTTAAGGGCCTTAGAAGTGGGATATAAGTACAGTTATAATCGGCAAATAAGTACCACGAACCTCCACGTGGACCTTGGACCTTATCGGCCCTGAAATTTACGTCTCCCATGCTTGAGTTTAGGGCTTATTAGAGTGTCGCCTCAGGAGCCCAATGCCCCTTAGTTAAGGCTTGCCTTAATTCACATAGGGACTCTTTTTTGTGACTTAGGGTATATTGTTGGGCACTTTGGGCACATAGTTTAAGTTTGTCTGGCGATAAGGTTGTGCTCGGGCGTCGGGTCGAATACATCAGCTTACGGTGCTGGTTTGTAAACACCCGGACATGTAAACAGACAAACAGGTATTTCATACTACCTCCCAATTACGAAAACATGCGGGTTTAAACTATACTACCTTTCTTGCCGTGGCAGGTTGGACGCCCTCCACTTATTTAAAAATCGTCACCGTGGATAGTTATGAAGAATATCACTTAAAGGACCCTGATAAGGTCCCTTGTATCTCATGTACAAGTGCAATTGAGCTGCCCAAAATGCCCATTCTAGTTGAATGGTCTCTGCCACTCAAGCATGAGTCGACCACGAGACGCACTGCAGGAATGCTACCTCTCTTCGAACTTGACGGTCCTGGCCACACCTTCCAGCTGCTAAACACAAGGTGGCAGTCAGAACAGAAGAGACGCCCGAACCCAAACTCCTAAACAGCAAGTTGCAGGAAGTTTTGAATGTGGCGACTTACATATGAAGAGCTTTACATGGCTTATCATGATGACTCGTTGCTTCATTGCCTAAACAACATTATGTAAACGCTGAAGCGTAAACTCTAGAATGCATGTTGCTCGTTTTGCTCGCTTAGCCCTCCGGCACCTGCATATACCCAAAACTACAAGCTTGCTTCTATATGTGTATATATATATATTATTTATTTATTTAAATATCTAGAAAAAGTATATCTATATGTATGCTTGTATTTATATAAAGACACATACCTTCATACATACACACATACATACATACATACCTACATACATACATAAATGCATGTGTAGACATGGGTCTGAGGTTTATATAGGGTTTCGGGTTTAGGGTCTGGGACTAAGGCTGAGGGTTTAGGACATATATATATATATATAGAGAGAGAGGGGTACCTCTGTCATTGCTTCTTTGGTCCCGAACAGAACACGGTTCGGGGTTCAGGACGAACGGTTTTCAGCGCATGGCTCAGGGTTTGTCACAATCCCCTGTGACACGAAGGTTATTCTGGACTAGAATCCCTTGGGGTTTTGGCCTCTCCGAGTGTATATATATATATATATCTACATACACATATTCCCCGATCACGAGGTTTTGTGGCGTGAGTAGCTCGGGAGAGGCAGGGGGGTCTGGCGACCCTGCTGCCGCGCGCTCGTCGCAAAGAGTTGGGCGGCTGCAGTTCAAAGCAGGAGACCCCTGATTAGCTCCAGCCGCAGTGTGCGCAATCTCCATTTTTCCCAGGGGGGGGGGGGGGGGGGGGGGGAGGGGCACTGGCACTTATAGTGCCGTTAAGCCTGATATGGCACATTTTTTGGGACCAAAATTTCTGTCACGATCAACAGCAACCGTGAGATTGCTATCGATCTTCATGGCCATTGCCCGGGCTACTGAACAAGATTCTCAAAGGGTCTGGCAAGCAGAGTGTCTGGTCCATAAGCAGCACTGGCCAAGATTCTATTTACTTACCTAACACCTGTGCGCAAACACGCTAACAAAAATGCAGCCCACAAGAAGCCCCCAAAAACAAGGGACAGAAGGACGGTAGACCCTAAAAACCCTAATCCCATCTACCCCACACCCAATATGACATGCCCTAAACCGTCCTTAACAAAACAACTTAACTCCTACATGCCCTGAGTCGCAAAAACATCATACCCTAAGCAAGCCCAACTCATAGGATCCCTAAGGGAGCGGCCGTCTGATGGAACCCATGCGAGCGAATGACCCCTATATTCCATGTAGACCCCTATCGCAACTGGCATTTTTAGGGCTTAACTACCTTAGCCCACAAGCTCGGCTAGCTGTAGTCGCAGTTTCATGTAGAGGAAGGAATCCCTCATCCTCCAACCCGAGATCTACACTCAAGCATGTGCTCTGAGGGCCCCTCTTAAGAGTCATAGTGCTTGGGGGTCACCAAAATATGTAACCAATGAACTTTAAACCCTAAACCACTAAACCCTAAACCCTAAACCCTAATAAACCCTAAACCAACGCCGGAGCACGATAGAGCTCACTGGGTCTCTGGCGCGCAGCGGAGATCGCGACGATGAGAGAGTGCCCGCAGGTTGATATGATCACTTCTCAAAAATATAGCCCTAAACCCCAAACCCTAAAACCCGAAACCCTTTTGGGGGTTCCTTCTTACAAGGCGGCCCCTCGTTTTTCGGGTACCCCAGACAAGGGACCATAACTTAAGAGAAACACCAGATGGTTTAAGGTCTAGGGTTTAGAGTCTGACTCCGGACGGGCTACTGGCTTAGAACCTCGAGCGGCCCATTGTTTAGGGTTTAGGGTTTAGGGTTCAGGGTTTGGGGTTCTTCAGGGCCCATGCTGAAGCCCCCTGGACCATTCAGGCCCTTGAGGCTTTCGGGCTTCAGGTTCCGAGTAACCCCGGAAGCTCTGCAGGCCGCCCTGTGGTTCGACTTAGTAGCGACTGAGGGTATTTGGCACCTCATATCCCCTCAACCCAAAGCCCTCTAAACCCTAAACCCTAAACCCTAAACCCTAAAACCTAAACCCTAAACCCTATAAACCCAAAACCCTTTAACTCTACAGGGTACCTCATTCCCTCCTTCCCAGGTCATAGCATGTCCGGGCCGCAGGGCTACGAGATTTGCAGGGGTTTGGATTTAGGGTTTAGGGTTTAGGGTTTGGGGATTAGGGTTTAGGGTTTAGGGTTTATGGAGGTTACAGGCCTCAAGGTTTAAGGTTCAGGGGGCCGCACTTGAATCGGGTTTCAGGTTTCTATAGTCTATAGCAGTCGAAGAACCTAAACGCCAAACCCTAAACCCTAAACCCTAAACCCCTAAACCCCTAAACCCCTAAACCCCTAAACCCCTAAACCCCTAAACCCCTAAACCCTAAACCCCCTAAACGGACGGGCGACACGGCAGCTCCCAGATGGCTCAGTCCACTGGGGTTTCGATAGCAGGGCTTAGTTTAGGGGGCCTGAATAATTCGAATACGGTTTAGGGCTTAGGGTTTAGGGTTTAGGGTTTAGGGTTTTCAGGGTTGTCAGGGTTTGGGGTTTAGGGGCTTTGGGGGGGGGGGGGGGGGGGGCCACTATAGAATAATTACAAAGGGGCCACAAGGGAATATTATTGTAGCAATTCTTCCGACGCCCATATAACCCTAAACCCTCAACCCCCCTGGCGATTGGAGCTTTCTAGTTCCCGCGGCTGCCATTCTCTCACCATGGACAGGCTTTTGGCTTCTTGGTACCCCAGTAACCATAGGCTAACAAGGGCACCCTTTCTGGGGTTCAGGGTTTAGGGTTTAGGGTTTAGGGTTTAGGGCTAGGGTTTAGGGTTTAGGGCTTAGGGTTGGTTACTTTACAAGCGTACCTTGAACCAACAAAAAAAGGAAAAAGGGTACCACTGGGCTGCCAAGGTTCTACAACGATCTCGTCAGTATCGGCCACAGCAAGGTGAGACCCCGACAGGGAATAGATCTATACTCCCCCTTAGACCCTTAATAAAGAATAATATGTTTAATATCCTCTTGGGTTATATATATATAAACAAAAATAGAAAAGCTAATTCCCAAGGGGGAATAT